GCCGACTCGACGGCACATAACAACAACAACAACATAGATATATGTACACAAGCAATCCACCTCAGTAGCTTATGTATAATTCTACTGGTGACTAAAAGTTTTCATTTTTTTTTTTATTTTCATGATCACCAATATTTTGTATCTCTTTAAAGTTTTAACATATTAATATATCATGTATGAACATTATACAAAACTCAAAAATTCCAACATTTCATCGTTTTCCCTTCCAACATTTCTACTAGCCATGCTTTTTCCACCATTGAAGTCAACCACCATTACAAGTTTCTTATGGATATTTCTGTATATATATTCTATAGCGACAACATTCTGTATTCTTTCTTCTGAATCTAATTTCAGTAAGCCTTGGGCAGTGTTTCATATTGAGACTAAAGATCTACCTCATTATTTCAGCAATTGAAGTAATAAATTTTATTTATAAACAGTATTAGGGAAACAATATTTTGTTTCAGAAGCAAATCTCAGTATTACAAAGTTTGCAACTTTGTCAGCCATTAACTTATCATGATAATGCCTTGCTAAATCGCACCATCTCTCTTTTCTCCCCCTCTAGCTGTTTAAACTAAAGTTTGCATATCTACCTTCTGCATAGGAAAAGATCTGCACCATATTATTCACAGAGTAATAGTAAAGGAATCATATGTTTGAGATAGAAGAGTATTTAAACTTCTTTGAATGCCCTCATTTGGTATATAAGAAAACTAAGAGGTAGAAGTTAAAGTGAAATGAAAAAGATTTTCTCCTTTTTGCTTTCATGCAGTCAATCTGTCAGCTGTTACTTCATTTATTCACTGATTCACTCCTTCATTCAGCATCATCACCAAGCATCCACCTCATTAATACTAAGCAAAAGCACCATTGTAGAGAATAAAATATTTGGATTTTCCCCATTTTCTTCCCTTTGTCAGTGAGACCATATTATGGATTGAACTGTGTCCCACAAAAATATATGTTGGAAATCCTAACCCTATATCTATGATGCAGCAGTTAAGAAATCATGCATTGAAATCATGCAAATCTGCAAAAGCCCTCTTTAAAGTGCTGAAGAGCAAAGCTGTCTCTTTGAGGACTAAGGTGCACTTAACTCAAACCATCTCATGCTTGGGAAAATGAAATGAATAAAGAAGAACGAAAAAGAGTTGATTCTTTTGAGTTGTGGTGTTGGCAAAGAATATTGAAAGAACCAGGGACTGCTAGAAAAATGAACAAATCTGTCCTGGAAGAAGTGCAACCAGACTGCTCCTTGGAAGGGAGAATGGCCAGATTTCTTCTCACCTGAGGGGACCATTTCCTGGAGAAAGATATCATGCTTGGTAAAGTGGCAGGTCAGCGAAAAAGGGGAAGACCCTCAAAGAGATGGATTGACACAGTGACTGCAATGTTGGGCTCAGATATAGCAGGGATTGTGAGGCTTGCACATGACCAATCAGTGTTTCAGTGTTTCATTCTTTTATACTGTGAGTCAATCTGAAGCCAGAGTTCTAGCAGCCTCCAGGAAAATCTTTAACCAGAAACCTTTTAGTGTCAGCAATGCTAACAGGACTTTTGTAATTCTAAACACTCCTTAGGGCCTTTATCTGCCCTCCAGTCTCA